TATAGGTTTTGACAGATGCATGATGATATCCGTCCCCCACTGAATAACCCTGCAGGATAGTTTCAGGTCCCTAAAAATCCTGCACGTTCATTGTTCTCCACAAATCCTGGCAACAACTAGTTATTTTTATTCCATAGGATATCAAATAGGTAAACTCATGCAGTATATACGTATGTAGCCTTTTCATATTGATGTCTTTTACTTAGTAATATATATTATTTCCTCTGTGCGTGCTTTGCTAGTTCATATTATTGAATAACATGCTATTGTCTGGTTACACCATGCTTTATTTGGCAACTGAAAGGCATTTTTATTATATTCAGGTTTGGCAGATATAAATAAAACTACTACAAATACCTATGTCCAGCAGGGTTTGTATGAATATAGTTTTTAACTCAATTAGCCAAATACCAAAGATCATGAATGCAGAATCATTTAGTGAGTGTATACTTACTTCTGTAAGAAACTTAAATTTCTTCCACAGAGTCTACCAGTTTACATTCCCATCAACAGCAGAGGAGATACTATTGCTCCGTGTCCTTGCCAGCACTTAGTTTAGCCGGTGCTTTGGACTGACATGTGGTTTTGAACATCATATATACTTATTTAAATCTGTCTGTCTTCTTTGATAAGGATCTAGTCTGTAGGTTTTGGTCTGTTTTTAAATTGTTCTTTCATTAGAAGTATTTTTTTGAAAATATTTCTCCCAATTTGAAATCTGCTTTTCATTCCTTTTACATTTTCCTTTGCAGAGCAAAAGCTTTTAATCTGACATTATTATTAGTTACTTCTATTTTCTTTTCATTGATGTTAGCATGGTATATCTTTTTCTACCCCTTTCCTTTTATATGTAGCTTTATATTTAAAGTTGTTTTCTTTGCAGGTGATAAATACATTTAAATACATTTTTTTTCCTTTTTATTTTATTTGTTATTATTTTGTAGGAAGGGTGTGGGTGTACACATCTCACAATATACATATAGAGGTCACCAGACAACTTTTGAAGTTTGCTCCTTCCATCTTGAGAGGCAGAGAGTCTCTCTCTGTTTCTGTCACCCTGCATATTCCTGCAAGCTTCCAGAAAGTTCTCCTGTCCCCACCTCCTAACTGTCTTCCCATAGGAGTACTGGGATTATTGATACACACAATTGAATATGGCTTTTGTGGGTTCTGTGAATCTAACTCGGGTCATCTGGGCTCGTACAAGAGGCCCTTTTACCCATCAGGTGCATGCATGTGGAGATCAGAGAACAGCGCTCAGACATTGGTTTCCCTTTTGCCATGGGTTCTAGGATCAAACTCAAGTCATCAGAGCGGCTTGGCAAGCACTGTTACCCACTGAGCCTCTCCTAGACCAAGGAACGTTTTTAAACTTCACCCAATTTCTTTATTGTTGTTGCCTCCTTTTAAACAAAGCCACATCCCTCTTGCTATTGTGTGTTGTATATGCATGTTTGCACATGTCTGTAAGTGCACATGTGTATGCACACATGTGGAAACCTGAAGTTGACTTTAGGTGGCTTGCTCTCCGCGCGCACGTGTGTGTGTGTGTGTGTGTGTGTGTGTGTGTGTGTGTGTGTGTGTG